CTCTTCTTAAAAACTCAAATGGAGCGAATAGCTTAATAAAATCTCAGGCCTTCCTACTGTCCTCTGAAGGACCAGAAAACCCAAAATTACAGACTACTTCAAATCCAGAGCTCAATCTAGCACAACAGTTTGTCTTTGCATGTTTTGGGGAGCCATTACCTGAACCACAGCAGGAGCAGTGAGAGGCATCTGAGTGGGTGCGCAATGACCCTAGCTGACAGCATCCACTCACAGACTCAATCCTCAGTTTTGGTGCAAGCGCTTGGCCATGTGGATGTCCCTGCTTATATCTCTTTCCTGTGAAGGTTGCTCCACAATAGCACAGATCACCATGGGCAGCCATGTGAATCGTTCTGTGCTTCCTGGTCAAGCCTAGAAGATGCTTGACCAAGAAGCAGGCAACAGGAGGCAAACTGCTGTTGAGCACCAGGTGGCACTACCAACAATGCTGGTTCTCCTATCCTAAAGACAGCAGGCCACATGGAAATATGTCACTGTGCTAGCTAGGAGACACAGAAAAGAAACCAGACTGCCAGAATCTTACAGCAAGCAGCATCCCAAGAGCTGCAGTAGCTGCAGCTGATCACTCAATGTGGCCTGTCCAGAGGTGTGGAAGTCTTGAAATTGCTTGCCATGAGAGCAGATCAGAAGCAGTGGCAATAGTAACTGTGGCCTTGCCTTATCACCACACACCTTCGCATTCTTGCCCAGACTGGACCTACGCACCTTCACAGTGGCTACTTGCCTCACTCACAGATTTGCCTGTCTCTTGGGTAGGTAATTTTGCCTGGCTGCTTTTTAGAATTACACATGGATTTACATGCTTCTGTATGTTACCCAAATGTTTCTGAGTCACATTCTGCAAGAGGTGTTCATCTGCATCTAATCACAACCACAAGCAGCTACTCAAGTTATAATTCATTATTTATTTGATACATTCAAGATCTAAAGAGTTTACTGGGTTAGGGATTTATCTCTTGAAGGTTTACCAGTCTCTTGCTTCCCTCCACCATTATATTAACAGCTAAAAATCTAAGAGGGAAAAAAATGTTCTGTGTGCTTTGCCTTAAGGAGATAATATCACAGTAGCTATTCTTTGTACAATGTCCTCAATACAAATGCAGATCTGTTCTGGGAAAAAACAACCCTACTGGACAGAAAGTAATTCACAAGTGTAAGATGCCCTAAGTGCAGCAAAATGACTGAAGTTGCAGAGAGATGAAAGTCTTACAAATAATTTTCTTTCATCACAAGCACTTCTCTTTTATCTGGTACAAATTACTTTTTCTGCTGAACATGTAGTTTGAGTGTGAACTCATATCCGTACAGATTAAACTAAACAACTTTGCCTTCTACTTGTACTGTCACTGCTCTATTTTTACATTTTGTAGATAATCCCTCATAAAGTACGAGTGTTTTTCCAGGGCTTCATGCTCTGGTGATCATCACTCCTCCAATGATTTGGATCACTGGCTATGATAATGGGAGAAAGATTAGATGAAACCTCATGGGAGCAAAATCATCTCAAAGGCTACTTCTGGGCTAATAAGCAAACCATATAGTGAGCCCAAATATTTGTTAAAAAATGTACACAGAATTTATCATCCTTAACTATATAAAATGTATCATAAACTAAGACACTGGCCTCAGGCTTCATACCGTTACTCATGAACTTCTACTTTGCCCTATAAACGGTGATTCTAAAACCACGCATTTCAATTTTTCCATTTTTTGTATTTTCAGCTCCATATGCTGTACTTCTGAAGCTGAGCATGTGATATATGTCATCACCATTTCCAGTATTCTTTAATAACAGCACTGGATGCATAGGAGATGCTCTCCTCCTATCACACATACCTTGCACAAAAAGGTCTTCAGTTTATGCATATTCAGAGATCTTGCTGGAGGTATATACATATTCCATGCAAAGAGTTGTGGAAGCTTCCTTATTATTCAAACGTAGTCTGGTGGAACCTTCCTTTATCTGTTCAATACTTAGACACAAACTCTTCCTGCTATCTAAACAAACCACAAGGTTGTCCATTAAGGGACTTAACAAGCTGCAACTTGTATCAACACAAGTCCCAGCTAATTTCTAGAAAGTAGGAAATAGTCTTGACTGCTTTCTCTAGAGTACTTGTACCTTCTGTGTCATATCCTCTTCCTACTTCGACTGCTGCCAAATGAAGTAACATCACAGACTCATATGTAGGTTATTCTGAAAGTAATGCCTCCTTGTTATTTCCGTGGAAACTACAACAAAGAGAACAATAACACTATTTGTGAGAGCTACAAAACACTTTTTTTCAACAGTCATCACCATTAGTCAATTCATGTGGATAAGCTCTTGTCTGCTCAGATAAATAATGAAATGAAAACAAGAATGCAATATGAACACTGCAGTTCCTATCTTACCTTTCATTATCTAGACTTAAACAAAGTCAGAAACAGTCCTGTAAATATATCTGGTGCTATAAATGCAAAATTTCTGGGTTTTGTCTTTCAATGTATGCAACATTTGTAGGAGTACCTCTAGCGATGAGAAATTGGATATACAACTCTAAATCTGCAAATTGGAGACCATCACCCTCTGCCACAAATTTCAATGTTCTGCTCAGTTTCTCTGCACACTTGAATAACAAATAAATAGTAATTACTTGCCTCTGAAATCTCTTGTATTTTTTGTTCAAAGAATATCTGTATAACATTTACAAAGTGTAGTATGCTATTATATGGACCAAAGCTTTCAACTGTTGTTTCACTGCACACTGAAGACTCCTTTATTGGAATAAGAAATATCATTCCAAAATAATATTGCCATTGGTAATGATGGCTGAAACTATGTAAATGATTTTTAAACCACAAGATTATGGGAAGGATCCATTTCTATTACATCAGTCTTTTCAGTGGGCCAGCATTCCTTGATACATTCCTAGCACTATTGTTTTCTCTGGCTTCACATTATAGTCTTTCTGTGTGAGTTTTATTGCACGGTGTGTTAATTGTGCTGTTATAGTTCTAAAGTGGGCCATATAAAATGCTTAAGCCAAGCTGTGGATCATACCATATAGTTTTTCCGCTGACAAATTGTACTTCCTCCTCACAAGACTTTAAGGAATATTTAATGTAAATTGAATATCAAAGGTCAAAATCTTACTTATTTAATTGTGAAAAAAAAAAGGCAATTCTGGCTATTCAGATTATGGTTCAGAAAATTCAGGTTATGGTATTAGTTATCTGCCTGCAGACGTAACTACACAAACTTGAGAGTTCTTAGTTCCAAAGTATGGATTTGTTGATAGATTTCACAGACTGCAGTCTTCTCCTGTGCAGAAGTCAGCCGTGCCTTAGTGCAATTGATTTGTCTGAGTCAGAATAATGAGACTTCTGTTTTCTATGCTGTCCCCTTTAAAATGAGTTGGCCATTAGTAAGTATAGCTACGCACAGGATCTCCCACAGTGATGCTGCTCTCAGAGTGATTACTGACTTGAGTCACTGCCTTTCTAGCTGTTGGAAGCTGGCAGGGTCATGCGATACGAAGTGTGCTTTCACAGATATAATACAATGTATGATTGGATATGATAAAATATGTGACATGATATACACACATTTTTTCTTATTAAGATCTCATATCTTTATGATTAGTAATTTTTTATTTTTCTGTTTCCTTCCTGTAAAGTTATTTTTGTTTATATCAAATGAGAAAAATCTGTTTGCAAATTTCATGATGTTTTCAAGATTTCAGTGAAACTAAAAATTCCTGTTATTGTTTGGTCTAAGTACATATCATAGAGACCTACATGTCACAGCAGCCTTCCAAGACACACATTTTGCTCCTGATGATCTTTGCAAGTTGATTTCTCTATGTATGGATTATTGGAAATATGTACTTTCCAGCTCTGGCAGAGAAAAAACTGCATCCTTTTTAAATGCGTTCTGGAACAGCCTTGAGAAATGAATCCTGGGTAAAAGTCACTTAGTGTTACTGAAATTGTTCCACTAAGGTATGTTTTCACTGATGACTTATGTTGAAAATGAAATTTCTCTAGCATTTTTAGCTCGCTCATGGGCAATGTTGCTTTGAGGGCTTTCTAAAGTAATTGCATATCTAGTGAAAGGCAAAGACGATTTTCTTCTTGGAGAATATAATACAAAAGTATTCTGTGAAAGCTATTTTGAAGAGTGCAAGACAACAGCAGAATACTGGTTCTGAGAAATCTAGATCTATTCCTTTAGGACTGTTTTCCCTTCAGAGCAGAGCAGACTTGTCAGTTACATGGTGTTTTTAAAATTGTATTTTAAAATAATGTGTGGAAATACAAGAAGATCTTCCTCATTCATTTAAAAGGTCCCACAGGCTGATCTGTACATCCAGTTCAGTCTTTTATTGAACTGCTTCCTCTACTCTGCATTAAAATACCCTGACAGATACCACATGCTTCTACAAACAATATGCAAAAAACTCTCCCAAAATACAAAAGTACAGCCAAGCTGGGTTTTAGTCATGTCACAGGAGTGAGAAAGATCCTAGAATAGACGTACTTCTACTGATAAGATAAACAATCCTACTTGCTGAATTCAGTTAGCATCCTTGAAATCAGCAATACATTGTGCAAATATCTGATGTTGTTAGTATCAGCTTCCAAGAAGGTAATTATGGTTTCAGTTTCCTTGGTTCTTCCCAACTGATAGCATTGCATTTTAAGAAGGAACTATATGTGAAGGGAGGTGAATACTGCTGTGCTGAAAGTTGTTACAGTGGTATGGGAACTGTTATGAGATTCAGTAAATACCCATTCAGCTGTAGTCAATTTACACTAGATGTGAATGTGAGATTGCATCCTCTGATAGGAAAGCTGGCTTTGATTTTTGTGCACCTTGACAATGAATTCTGTTTTCAATATTACTTCAGTATCCATGCTTACATTGTATTCTAGCTTTTGTTGTCACTTCAAAGAATTATATGTAATCACTGGCCATTGGTTATTTTTGCACCTAGCTCACTTCAGACCAAATGAGGAAACAGTGGGACAGCCAGACCTGAAAGGTGAATACAGACTGCTTATGCTGTGTTGACTTCAGACATCTCTATCCAAGAGTCACAATCCTACTGCATCTGACGCAATTCATACCTGAGCCATCTCACCACCGTGAGCTAAATTTTTGTTATTCTTTTAGGTTTTTGTCAAAATGATATGACTATTTGGATTGTATATACTGAACTTCAGAGAAATCTATTAGGAAAAAAGCCAAACCAAACTAACAACGGTGTTCAGTAACATCTACTTTTGATTATACGTATTTGTGATACAAATAATGTTCTATATTCACCACCAAAACAAATAATTAGGCATGCATTGTAAAATGTAATTAATTTGGAGATAAAGTAGGAAGAACAATTAAAAACAGTAAGCAAGGGAAGTAGAAAGAAAGACAGAATATATCTCCAGCTAATATTTTCCATAGAAACTGCGAGCTTCAGAAAGTCAGTGGTGGTAAACATACAAAAAAGAGATTCTTAAGGTTCAAGGACAGAACAGTTTTGTTTGCTTGTTTTTGAGTCAATGAATAATACTAATAAAAAAGATTATTCTTTCATGTATACAGATGAGAATGTAAGAAAACCAATATTTTCAGCATCTAACACAAAAACTGAATTTATTTTAGGGAAGAAAGATCTTAATATAATATCTAATACTTTAATAACAGAAATTCAGAGAATCACAGAATATCAGGAATTGGAAGGGACCTTGAAAGATCACTTAGTCTAATTTTCCTGCCATAGCAGGAAAACTTAGATCAGGTCACACAGGAACGCGTCCAGGCGGGTTTGAGTGTCTTCAGAGAAGAAAACTCCACAAACTTGCTGGGCAGCCTGTTCCAGTGCTCTGTCACCATCACTGTTAAGAAGTTTTTTCCAGTACTTATGTGGAACCTCCTATGTTCCAGCTTGTACCCACTGTCTCTTGTCCTATCATTGAACGTCACTGAGAAGAGCCTGGCTCCATCGTCATTACATTCACCCTTCACATTTATAAACATTAATGAGGTCACCCCCCTGTCTCCTCCAAGCTCCTCCAAGCAAAGAGACCCAACTTCGTCAGCCTTTCCTGGTAATGCTGCACTCCCTTAATCATCCCTGTGGCTCTGCGCTGGACTGTCTCAAGCAGTCCCCTCTCCTTGCGCTGAGGGACCCAGAACTGGACACAGTACTACAGATGCAATCTCACCAGGGCAGAGTAGAGGGAGGAAAACTTCCCTCAACCTACTAATCACACCCCCTCTAATACACCCCAAGATGCCATTGGCCTTCTTGGCACAAGGTCACAGTGTTGGCTTGTGGTCATCCTGCTGTCCACCAGGGCCTCCAGGTCCATTTCCCCTTCACTGCTCTCCAACAGATCAGTTACCAGCCTATACTGGTATCCAGGGTTGTTATTGCCCAGATGCGAAACTATATAGTTACCCTTGTTGTGTTTCATGAAATTTCTCCACCCAACTCTCCAGTCTTTCTAGGCCCATGTCAGCCATTCCTCCCAGTTTTGTGTCATCAGCAAACTTACTGACAGCGCACGGGATTCCCTCATCCAAGTTGTTGATGAATGTTGAATAGTTTAAGAACTTCAGACTTGTAGCACAGTCTTCCAGTGAGAGGGCTACGCTGTGTAAAACTAATCCCCTATTTTATTTATTAATTTATTTTCTGTACAGAACAACTCTATAGTATTTTTCTGCCTTGATTTCAGGAAATGAACAATTATATCTATCTTCTCCTCTCATTAAGCATCTAGAAATTACTCAAAAATCACAAATTATATTTGAAGAATTTTAAGCTGTTTACTTAAAAACAAAGTGTCAGTTTCAAATAACGATAAAACGGGCTGGAAACACAATTCAAAGCGTTGTTTTTAATGAATCTCGAACATAGAGATTGGCTTAAGATTCGTGTTTCACATGGGATTTTCTGCCTCAGTCTGAGTTTGCCGTCTTCGCTTGTGTTGCTTGACTCCTGCCCAGTGATGGGCTGCACTGCCACCCACTGGCTCCTTCGGTCTTCATACCGCATGGTGACAGAACAAAATAATTTTTCCGCGTCTTAAAATGGTTATTTTAAATAGGCCTGTCTGAAGTACCTTTTCAGCAAGTTAGGCATCATTTCAAAACTGTGTATGTATTTTCCAAAATGGAGAAACCCATCTAAACAAATCCTTGCTCAACGGATGGGACAATATACTCAGCGTATTTGTTATCCGTTCTGGATACTGGTGGGCTGCTGAACTTTTCACAGATTTGGACTCAAATTTAAGAGACATTCCACTGGCATACTAATGAGCTAGGAATGAGAGTTGAAAATGTTAAGAATATTGTTTAGGTGTTTAACTATGGGTTGAGTTTGTAGACATCTAGAATGAGGCTGTGAATATTAAAATAAAAAAGGAAAGATGAAGAGAAGCCTCGGATTCTACTTGCTTGTTAACATCAACTGAGAAAAGTAATTACCACAGTCTGAAAAGGTTGCTCTTGCCTTTACAATATCCATGTTAATGTCTTATTGCTATATTTTGCATGTTCTATATAGTTTTACACTTCCTACAGTACAGAAGTTATTTTAAAATAATAATTAAAAATGAATCCTACTACAGAAGTAGAGCAATTACACATTTCAAATGTTTTGGTAAGCTTCTGTAATTTTATGTAAAAAACATATTTTTCCTAGGGACTGTTTTCTGTATCATCAAAAGCAATTAACAGATTCTCAGTATTTATTCCAAGCTGAGAAAGAACCTGAATTATCACTGATTTTGTTTTAAGGCACAAATATATTACCTCATGATCCATGCTCACATGAAAGCATTGCTTTTCTATGATGGATATATCATATTCTGCTATGAATAACAGCACCACACATCCAAATAGTTTATGGAAAACAGAAAAATAACTCATCCTCCCTTACTATTTAAGCAGGACTGCTCACTCATGAATTAATGTTATGAACAACGTTAAAAGATTAATACTTTTAAATTGCATTAAAAAGTACTGCTCAACTTGCCTTATTGGCTGACCTGTTTGTTGAAGAGGCTCTTCCAAGCTACATTGCCCTACGTATGTGTCATACACTTCTGTTCTGCTTTCATTAATGAAGTATAATTAGTCTCAGCACTCAGACACCATTGACTTGACAGCCTGTTGCATCCCTTTTTTTAGATGTTAGAGTAATTACAGTTTCCATAGCCACCAAATTGACCTTTACATTGAGTGGTTTAAGTTTCCTATCAAACAACTCTGTAGATTCCTCATGCAATAATGAAGAACACTTTTTCTTTTAATGATGGCCAAATTAGTATTTCTTCCATCCACTGTATTACTTAGAAACAATTACTTTAAATCAGTTTCCTCAAGGGAGATGGAAAAAGAGGGAAAAAATCAACATGTTACCACAATAGCACTATGAATAGATTATTTATGAAAATGCAAAATGGAAGTTGAAAAAAAAAATTATCAAATCATATTCTCAGCTAACATTGGCAGGGACGAGATCCCAGTTGTAGCTTCAGTATCTTTTCATATTATCACAGAATCATAGAATCTTTAGAGTTAGAAGGGCCTGATCAAGCCTAACCTTGGAAGTTTCCAGGAACAGGGCATTAAACACATCTCTGGGCAACCTGTGTCAGTGCCTCACCATCCTCACTGTAAAAGATTTTTTCTTTATCACCTTAAGTACCCACCCAAATGTCAGAACGTACAACTGGGAGCTGTTGTATCACAGGAGAGAAAGAAGAGAACTATACTTGTTATCCAGTCTTGCTGAGTTAGAGTATGGAGCAATTCAAATATTAGATTATCTCGGTATTTGTGTTATTACTGAGTATGGAGACCTCTGCAGCTGAAGTCTACAATAATACATATTATGTATTATTCTGTTATGTTATTATGCTAATATTATGTACAATACATAATAGGACACAACAGGATTTAAATATGATGCTTAAGGCAGATTTCAGCTAATAAATTTGAGATAATGGTAAGATATTCAAATAATGAAAAACCAGGTAGAAAATATTCTATCTTGATGTTATTGGAAGGATCAGCAGTGATTTTTTGTGTTGCTTATCTTCACTGACATCTGCTGCCAAGTAGCATCCTTATCAGCTCATTTGCATTCAGCTCATTTCCTTCCTTTGCTAGAATTAGAAGTTATGCAAATCAAGGTAGAGAAGATACTAAATTTCAACAGATGTTAATTAGGTCACTTCAGATCTACTTCATGGAAATTTTGCCATCAGTGCAGAAGGAACAAAAGCAGACTTCCAGTTCTAGTGCTGATAATCTGCACTGAACTCCTAGTACTGAGTAACCTGACTCATGAACAATATGATGATCTTTTTGGATCAAATATTTATCAGAATAAAATATTCTATTGTATTTCAATTTACACTTCTAATCTACTGTATACTGTATTATGTAATATTTTTGTTTGAGACTATATTCTAGTTGTATCAATGTCAGGAGAAGATTCATGCCTCAGAAAGGGCTCCTGATTCTTCTTTTGCTCCTGTCAGATCAGAAACTGGGAATGTATGTGCCTTGTTTGGGCAGTTATCCACAAAACTTTTTCTTCATGTCTGAAGTAAAAGTGTCTTTCTAGCCACTGTCAAGAGTGATGTGTGTCAGATCATAATCATAGACATGCTTACAACCTACGTTAAGCACTCATAGTTTCAATTCAGTGCAAGGAACAATTGAGGGACTTAACACAGTGACAGGAATGGAGTTGAGGCAATAGAACCACCATCCAAATCAACAGGCAGAAGAGATCTTTTTTGTTGCAAATTGGCATTTAAGGATAATTTCACAAGCTATGTATGCATAGGAAAAAAAAAAAAAAAGAAAAAAAAAGCAGGTAGATTTTTTGTAATTAAGCTGAGGCATGTGAAAGAAAAGCCAAACAGCCAAATGTTCACCCTTACCTGAACTCCAAAGTTTCTCTGGAGGGGAAGAAAGGAGTTAATTTTTAGCGTTTCTGTGCTCTCCAGACTGAAACCACTCATACTTTCTTTCATCTATATGTGGACAGTCAAATTATCTTTTAGATTACCAGCCTATTATGGAAGGAGCCGTCAAACAGTAGCAGTACCATGCCTGTCCA